TTATCTGCCAGAAAGACGAGCAAAATACACTAGTGGCGCTGTTTGAAAAATAAGAGATTTGCCCGAGTCAGTAGGAAGAATAACAAGGACATCTTTTCCAAGAACAATCTCTTTAAGAGCCTTTTGCTGTATTTCTCTAAATTCGTCCAAGCTAAACGACTTCAGAGCGTTCAAACGAGAATCTCAAACGACAAATTGTCCGCCATTTTGTGGCACTGCGACGACGGCTGCCTGCTAATTTATTAATGATATGCCCCTGAAAATATCGGGGGCCACTCGCTGATTGGTCGAGACTGACAATAGCGAGCCCCATGCGCCCAGCCGTCAGGGAAGAGAGTATCGCGGGCGCACGAAATCCCGACGGCTGGAGACTGAGCCTACCTTCGTTGCTAATGAGAAATTAATGAAATTGTGAAACGATAATGTTCACCGAAATTCGTTTGTTAAAATGTCATCGAACTCTGATGATTAGAGGATATTACATGGGCGCGCAGAGATATAGAGGATATTAAATGGGCGCGCGGAAATACGAATTTTATTTTTACGTGTTGAAATTCTCTCACGAGTGATCGTAGCGAAAAGATAAAATTCGTATCTCCAAATTCTGTTTATCACATGATAACGTGATATCTTGGCCTCGCGCTCGTACGGACAAATTTCGCGATTTTCTTTTATTTATTTATTTATTTTATTTATTTAGTAAATCAAGAGATATAGCTCTCCGGCCATCCCTTCTTAAGAATATTAGTCAAAGTGTTCTTAGTTATCAACCCCATGATTTCCTGGGTTTCAGTCTTAGTGTTACTTAGTCGGGTTGTCTTTCGTCCTCCATCTCCAAATTTAATTGCCCTTTCTTTCATTCTTTGAAACGACCACCAGGTCTTCTTTGGTGCGTTGTCATTATTCAAGTTTTCTTTCAGTCGATTTGTAATATCTTGCTGGTAAAAAGTGATGTGTCCGAATGGTTCTGCCATTCCCGCCAGATGGTCGGCTGCCTCATTATACGTGATTCCCGCATGACCTGGGATGTAGGCGATTCGTATTGAAGATTTAATTTTCCTCAGCAGTTTCAGCCATGTATTTTTTACCATTCCAGATTGCAATTGTGCTACCAAACTTTTAGAGTCCGTTAGGAGCAGTGTAGTATCTTGGACAGAGGTATTATTTGACATCCAAAATAGAGCATCCTCTACTCCTTCCATCTCTGCACGAAAGGAACTAGTCCTACCATGTTTTCCTGCACACCACTTATAAATGCACCGGTTATTTTTCCATACAAGCCCCGCCCATGCTGTTACGTCCTCTCGTACCGATCCGTCCGTTGCTATGATGATGTTAACATTGACGGATTCAATGTACTGTTCTACTTCGGCTTGATTG